TGTTGTTGTTTCTGGTTCTGGGGCTTGAACTCAGGGTCTGGGTGCTGTCCCTAAGCTTTTGTACTCCAGGCTAATGCTCTACCACTTTGAGCCACAGTGCCATTTTTGGCTTTTTGATAGTCTCATGCACTTTCCTGCCCAGGCTGGATTCAAACCACAGTCCTCAGATCTCAGCCTCCTGAGTATCTAAGATTATAGGCCTGAGCCATTGGCGCCTGGATTAAACAGAATTTTTTATTTTAATTAATTAATTTCACCAGTCCTGGGGCTTGAACTCAGGGACTGAGCACTGTCCCTGAGCCTTTTTTTTACTCAAGGCTAGCACTCTACCACTTGCACCACAGGGCCACTTCCAGCTTTTTCTGTTTATGTGTTGCTGAGGAATTGAATCCAGGACTTTGTGTTTGCTAGGCAAGCACTCTACTGCTAAGCCACATCCCCATCCCCTAAACAGAATGTTTTTTGAAGTAACCAGAGTGTGCATGCTTACTTGAAAACACTTTCAATGATGATCAGGTCCTACTTATAAGCCTATGCTAATTTTATTTTTGAAATATTTTATTTGAATTCAAAGAATAAAAAATGTTGGATAACAGGATGTTTTCTACAATCATAGGTAGCCTTTTTCTGACTTTTTTGTGTGTGCCAGTACTGGGGTTTGAACTCAGGCCTGGGTAGTGTCCCTGAGCCTTTTTACTCAAAGCTAGTGCTCTACCACTTTAGCCATAGCTCTAATTCCAGCGTTTTGGTGTTTAGAGATAAGAGTCTAATGGACTTTTCTGCTTGGTCTAACTTTGAGCTCTTAATACTCAGATTGCAACCTCTCCAGAGTAGCTAGGATTACAGGCATGACGCCCAGCTATGATTCTTGGGTTTGATTTTCTTTATTGATTTATTTATATTTTTCCAGTCTGGGAGCTTGAACTCAGGGTCTGGGCACTGGCCCTGAGTTTCTTTTACTCAAGGCTAGCATTCTACTACTTGAGCCACAGTGCCACATCTGGCTTTTTCTGTTTATGTGGTACTGAGGAATTGAACCCAGAGCTTCATACAAGCTAGGCAAGCACTCTGCCACTAAGCTACAATCCCAGCCCAGTTCTTGGGTTTTATCATTGAATTTATTGTACTGATTCAACAGATGACTTTGAAACTATGGTCAGAATGTTTTCAGTCATTGAAAAATAATAATGAAGTCATGAAGACTATATTTTAGAAATCTGTTTTATATATGTATAACTAAGATCTTGATCTTAGATATCTAGCTAGCTGGCTATCTCAATACCACTATAATTTGACAAGACCAAGAAGCCTATAGTTCACTTCCAGCTTGTGACAGAGAAGCCTTGTATTGACTATTATCAGAGAGATGTATGTTGTAAAACATTATGCTAACAAAAACATCTTAGAATTCTCCCTATTTCTAAGCAATCAACACACAAATGAAATATAGACAGTCATTGTAAATTTCTTTCCCTCATTTATTTTTAGCTAAGGCCTTGAATTGGAGAGATTTCTACCTTAGCCTTGTAAGTGAATTTATTTTTAAGATTTTATTTTTGTTTGTTTAATCGATACAGAACCTATACATATCTTTGAGGTACAGTGTAGAATCTCACTATGCAGATGTAATGTGTAATGAGCAGATCAGTGTAATTGGCATATCTGTTACCTCAAACATTAATTTTTCTTTGTATTTCAAAATCCTGTCTGCTAGCTATTTTTGAAATATTCAGTTGTGGTCAACTATAGTTATCTACTGTGCTATGAGACTTTAGGATATTATTCCTATATGATATGATGGTGCATGTCCATAATCCCAGTACTTAAGAGGCTGAGGCATGAAGATTATGATTTGAGGCCAGATTGGGCTACATAGGGTGATCTTGTCTCAAAAAACATTATCCTATCCAGCTGTACCCTGCTGCCTTGGACCACCATTTCTCCATCTCACAACATCTTTCCCAGGCTCTAGTGACTACTTTTCTATGCTTCTATGAGATCAAACTTTTAGCTTCTGCATATGGTATTTATCTTTCTGCACCTGACTTATTTTATTTAGCATGATATCCTTCAGTTCTATCCATGTTGCTGCCAGTGACTGAGTTTCATTTGTTTTATTTTATTTTATTTTATTTTTTTGGTCTGGTCGTGGGGCCTGAACTCTGGGCCTGGGCGCTGTCCCTCAGCTCTTCAGCTCAAGGCTAGCGCTCTACCACTTGAGCCACAATGCCACTTCCGGCTTTTTTCCCAGACCCTCATTTGTTTTAAAGCGGAATAAATACTCTGTTATGTACCTAATGCCATGTTTTCTTTATCCATTCATCTAGCAGGGGATATCTATGTTGATTCTATAACTTGCTTGTGGTGAACACTGCTATTATAAATATCAGAGCACTTGCCTTGCATGCATGAGGCCCTGGGTTCAATTCCTCAGCACCACATAAGCAAAAAGAAAAAAAAAGCCAAAAGTGGCACTGTGGCTCAAGTGGTAGAGTGCCAGCCTTGAGCTGAGGAGCTGAGGGTCAGCACCCAGGCCCAGAGTTCAGGCCCCACGACTGGACCCCCCCCCAAAAAAAAAAGAAAGCCAGAAGTGACGCTGTGGCTCAAGTGGTAGAGCACTAGCCTTGAGCTGAAGAGGTGAGGGATAGCACCCAGGTGAAGAGTTCAGGCCCCACGACTGTAAACCCCCCCAAAAAATATTATAAATATCAAATACAAATGTCTCTTCAATTTACTGATTTTAGTTCCGTTGGATATGTATGTTGTGGTGGGATTACTAGATTGTGTGGTATATCTATCTAGTTTTTAGGGGGCAAGCTCCATGCTGTCTTTATATGGCCAAAGGAATTTACATTCCCATTCATAGTCTGAGATTCTTCTTGTTTTGCTTCTTTTTTTTTGTTGGGCGTGGGGCCTGAACTCTGGGCCTGGACGCTGTCCCTCAGCTCTTCAGCTCAAGGCTACTGCTCTACCATTTGAGCCATAGTGCCACTTCCAGCTTTTTCAGCTTATGTGATGCTAAGGAATCGAGCCCAGGGCCTCATGCATGTAAGGCAAGCACTCTACCCCTGAGCCACCTTCCCAGCCCTTGCTCTGCCTCTTTACCAACATTTCTTTCTTTCTTTCTTTTTTGGTCTTTTTCTTTTTGCGGGTCCTGAGGCTTGAATTCAGGGCCGGGGCACTGTCCCTAAGCCTCTTGGTGCTCAAGGCTAGCACTCTACCACTTGAGCCACAGCTGTACTTCTGGCTTTTTCTGAGTAGTTTATTGAAGATAAGAGTCTCATGGATTTTTCTGCCTGTGCTGCCTTTGAACTTCGATCTTCAGATCTCAGCTTCCTGAGTAGCTAGGATTATAGGGATAAGCCACTAATGCCCGGCTAACCATTCTTCTATTTGCCCTTGACAAGCATATACTGAACAAAGAATGAGAGATTCTGGAGAACAAGGTTTGTCTCATTGCTAAGCAAGTGACTACATGCTCTGATTTGCTTGGGAGAAACCTGACTGTGCCTTGTAATTATTAGTAGCCTCATTTTTCACTTTCAGAAGTATGTAGCTTTAGGGGATAAATTATCTTACCATCGTTCTCATAACCTAACTGACTGATTTTAGTATTTTATCTGGGTTAAACATTACACAGCTATAATTTGGCAGCACTAATGAGGCTGCTAAATTCTCTTTCGAACAGATTGTTCCTTGACCAGAAGCAACTGCAATTAAGGTCTTCAGATACTTAGAATTGTTCTCTAGAGGGCAGTATTTGTGTGTGTGTGTGTGTGTGTGTGTGTGTGTGTATTACACTTATAAAAATATGGCCCCTTGTTTATTTATGAAAATCATATTTTAAACAATATGTTAGGACCAATAGTCTAAATATTTATTGCTAAGCAAAAAGTAAAAATACATTAAAAATTAATTCATTGACACTGAATATTTGTTTCTCTTTGAATCATAAAAATTGAACTTTGATACCTTGAATATACAATGATCCATTATAACAATTACATTTATTTTATGATCTTTCATACTTTTCATTATAGACTTTATATGTTTATTATATACAGTGCATTCTTTGCCATAGTTTTTATGTTTCTATTAAATGAGCATTTAAAATTAGTATTTCTGTTGTACTTGTTCAAATATTATTTTCCTTGCAAGAGAAAACAGAAGGTTAGGATATGGCTCAATCTTAGGGCACTTGACTAGTATACAAAATTGTTTTTAAAATTTTTTTGTCAGTCATGGGGCTTGAACTCTGGGCCTGGGTGCTGTCCCTCAGTTCTTCAGCTCAAGGTGAGCACTCTACCCCTTGAGCCACAGCACCACTTCTGGTTTTCTGGTGGTTAATTGGAGATAAAGAGTCTTACGGACTTTCCTGCCCAGGCTGGCTTTGAACCGCAGTCCTCAGTTCTCAGCTTCCTGAGGAGCTAGGCTTACAGTCTTGAGATACTGGGGCCCAGTTTGCAAAAATAAATTTTTAAGAGACAAAAAATGTATGTAGCTCTGTAGTAGAGCTTGTATTTAGCATTTTTGAGGCAGTAGGTTTAATTCCTAAAATCAAAAAGAAAGAGAGGGGCCGAGAATGTGGCTTAGTGGTAGAATGCTTGTCTTGCATGCATGAAGCCCTGGGTTCAATTCCTCAGGACCACATAGACAGAAGAAACCAGAAGTGGTGCTGTGGCTTAAATGGTAGAGTGGCAGCCTTAAGCAAAAAAAGATCACAGACCCAGACCCTAAGTTCAAGCCCAGAAGTGGCAGAAAAAAGAAAGAGAAACAATAAAAATGCCAGATTTTACTTTTAAGACTTGAATAATATGGTAATATAGAACACTAGTATTTAGGGGGGAGGAAAGAACACTAGTATTTAGAAGTAGAATGTATTTTAGCAATTGTATGGTTATTGTATGTCATTATTGGATATGTTATGAGCTCCCAATATCAAAAGTATGTTACTCATGTTTCACATTTTGTGTTTCCTAATGTAATGTTCTTTTTTTTAGGAAAAGTGGACAAGTCCTGTTTTCAAGAGAAGATGACTAATAATTGTGAAGGATCTAAAACTTGTATACCTGCAGACATCAATAAGGATGAAGAATTTGTAGAAGAATTTAATAGATTAAAAACTTTTGCAAATTTTCCAAGCAGTAGTCCTGTGGCAGCATCAACATTAGCACGGGCAGGTTTTCTTTATACTGGTGAAGGAGATACTGTGCAGTGCTTTAGTTGTCATGCAGCAGTAGATAGATGGCAGTATGGAGACTCAGCAGTTGGAAGACATAGGAAGGTATCCCCAAATTGCAGATTTATCAACGGCTTTTATTTTGAAAGCAGTGCAGCACAATCTTCAAATCCTGGGGTCCAAAATGGTCAGTACAAAGCTGAAAACTATCTGGGAAGCAGAAATCATTTCACTCTAGACAGGCCTCCTGAAACTCATGCAGACTATCTTCTGAGAACTGGGCAGGTTGTAGATATTTCAGACACTATATACCCAAGGAACCCTTCCATGTGTAGTGAAGAAGCCCGATTAAAATCATTCCACAATTGGCCAGACTATGCCCACTTAACCCCCAGAGAGTTAGCCAGTGCTGGACTCTACTACACAGGTATAGATGACCAAGTGCAGTGTTTTTGTTGTGGTGGAAAACTGAAAAATTGGGAACCCTGTGACCGTGCCTGGTCAGAGCACAGACGGCACTTTCCTAATTGCTTCTTTGTTTTGGGCCGCAACGTTAATGTTCGAAGTGAGTCTGATGTAAGTTCTGATAGAAATTACCCCAATTCAACACATCTTCCAAGAAATCCAGCCATGGCCGATTATGAAGCACGGATCATTACTTTTGGAACGTGGATATACTCAGTTAACAAGGAGCAACTTGCAAGTGCTGGATTTTATGCTTTAGGTAACCTGAACCAATAAATAACTTGCCAGCTATCCTAGGCCCCCTAAAAAGCAAATAAATGTCTTTAACCCCCTGAGCTGGTAAATAGGTATAAGCGGACATAAAATCTTTATCAGTATTAGTCTCAGAATAATTTCAAAAATAACCTGTTTTGAAGTTTCAGAGCTTGATAAAATAACTGCAGTTTTGATGAGTGAAATAAGATCTATGAGAAAGAATGTAAAAATTAGCCAGGCTGGGCACCGGTAGCTCACACCTATAATCCTAGCTACTCAGGAGACTGAGATCTGAGGATTGCAGTTCAAAGCCAACCCAGGAAGGAAAGTCCCTGAGACTCCTATCTCCAGTTAATAACCAGAAAACAGAAAGTGGCGCTGTGGCTCAGCCTTAAGCCAAAGAACATCAGAGAATGTTTACAGGCCCCGAGTTCAAGGCCCAAAACCAGCACAAATTTTTTTTTGTCAGTCATTGAGCTTGAACTCTGGGCCTGGGCACTGTCCCTCAGCACTTCAGCTCAAGGCTAGCACTCTGCCACTTGAGCCACAGCGCCACTTTGGCTTTTTCTGCTTATGTAGTACCGAGGAATCGAACCCAGGGCCTCATGCATGAGTATACCTATCACTCAGATGTAAATGCCCTTTAAGCCATGGGATATAGATGATATAGATTAATTTTTATATGTTAGAATGAATATTTTGTATAAGTTTCTAAATGTACAAATACATTTTTTTCTTGTCTATCTTCTTAGGTGAAGGTGATAAAGTGAAGTGCTTTCACTGTGGAGGAGGGCTAACTGATTGGAAGCCCAGTGAAGACCCTTGGGAACAACATGCCAAGTGGTATCCAGGGTAAGATATTTAATTGTTCATTCAGTAAACCAGCAAGTTGGAGAGTATGCAGTGGAAAGACTTGAATTATTTTTCACCTCAACTATTTTTGCCTTCACTATGTCTTGAAATTCACACTAAGTTTATAAAAATGGGGTCACCTACTTTATAGGAAAAAAAGATACCTAAGCCTTCTCTGGTGACCAAAACACTCACTGCTTATATAGCATATCTCTAGCATTCTTCATATGGTTCCATTTCTAAACATCAAATTAGAAAACATACTTGAGCCGGGTGCAGGTGGCTCACGCCTGAAATCCTAGCTACACAGGAGGCTGAGATTTGAGGACTGAGGTTCAAAGCCAGCCTGGGCAGGAAAATCCCTGAGACTCGTATGTCCAATTAACCACCAGAAAACCAGAAATGGTGCTGTGGCTCAAGTGGTTGAGTGCTCGCCTTGAGCTGAAAAGCTCAGGGACAGTGCCCAAGCCCAGAGTTCAATCCCTATGACCAACAATACATACATACATACATACATACGTGCATACATATGGCTTTTTCTTAATGAATATGGGAGACCCAGAGTACCAAGAAGAATCCTTAAAAAGCCATTATGTCTTTTTTTTTTTTTTTGGTCAGTTGTGGGGCTTGAACTCGGGGCCTTATTCCTATCCCTGAGTTCCTTTTGCTCAAGGCTAGTGCTCTTCCACTTTGAGCCACACCACCACTTCCAGTTTTCTGATGGTTAATTGGAGATAATAATGTGTAACAGTTATTATACACTATCATGTTGTATTAAGGAACAGCTAAATGTTTTTTAATTTGTCCTAATGAATGTGTCAAGAATGAATTTTTTAGTGACTAGTAGTTTAACATTTTATTTTCCAGGATTTTAGGTAATTTGAAATGACTTTAGCCTTCTTTATTGGAGAGATGATTTATTGAAATTCCAAAGAAACCATAAGAAAAATTTTATAATCTTTAAAGCTGCATCTTCCATACCAATAATATGTTAAATATGTCAACATTTTATTAAATGTATTTTATAGTGAAGAAAAATGATTATAGTTAAAAATTCAAAGACCTATCAGTACCCTATGTGCATCTGTTAAATTTTGAGAAAAGAATGGGAAAACACAGATATTTTTTTTTAATTAGGAGTTGGTCTTTAGAATTTAGGATATGGTGAGAGATCAGCTCCTCAAGGAATTGTCCAGTCAATAGTTACATAAAGTTTGAGATTCTGAAAGGCATTGCCCATTATTGTTTTTTAGCCTATCTTGTTTTGTAGAAATGTGGTATACTTTCAGGAATATACTGCACATTTATTAGTAAGTACAGATTTAGGGGATTATTAAAAAAAAACCTATGGTAAATTGCAGCGTGGGAGTTACCAGTTTCTTAACATCTGTGAATATTTTGCTGGGGTACACTGGAGATAGGAAGACTACTGAAAAATTTTGCACTTGGATTTGTTTTTAAGACCTTAATCTTTTCTTTTTCTTTATAAAATAGTAGAATCCATTCCATTCCAAAATGTCTTTTCTCTGATCACAAACAAGAACTAAGTGTCAATATCTCATGATGGTGGACAAAAGGAGTTAATGCAAATAAGCAAATAAACTTTTCACAATATTAAAAAAAAAAAAAGAATCTCATGGGGACTTTTCAGCCTGGGCTGGCTTGAACCATGATCCTCAGATCTCAGCCTCCTGAATAGCTAGGATTACAGGCATGAGCTACTGGTACCCAGCTATCATTGATTTTTTTTTTTTGCCAGTCCTGGGCATTGTCCCTGAACTTCTTTTGCTCAAGGATAACACTCTACCACTTGAGCCATAGCACCACATTCGGCTTTTTCTGTTTATGTAGTACTCAGGAATCAAACCCAGGAATTCTTGCATGCTAGGCAAGCACTCTACCATTATGCCACATTCCCAGCCTGTCACTCATTTTTTTTGTCCTCTGTCGGGTCTGGGTGCTATCCCTCAGCTATTCAGCTCAATGCTAGTGCTCTACCACAGCTCCACTTCCAGTTTTCTGGTGGTTATTTGGAGATAAGAGTCTCATGGACTTTCCTGCCCAGGCTGGCTTTGAACCACTGTCACTGATTTTAAGACACACATATTCATGTTTTAAGATCTCTGATATAGGACTGTCTGTTGGTGGGTCATAATCCAACTGGCACCAGTTTTAAGTGGTACCTAAAGAATTGTGCTTCTTACAGTCAGTGGCGTTTTAGGATCAAGTGCTGTAAATGTCTTTACCATTTTGCCTGTTTAAAGCATCCAAGTCAGGCACTGGTTGGTGACTCATGGCTATAATCCTACTTACCTAGGAGGCTAAGATCTGAGGATGGTGGTTCAAAGCGAGCCCTGGCAGACAAGTCCTTTAGGCTTATATTTCCAATTATTCAACAAAAAGCTAGAAGTAGAACTGTGGCTCAAGTGGTAGAGTGCCAGCTTTAAGTGGAAAAAAAGCTCAGAGTCAGCACATAGGCCCAGGCCTTAAATTGTAAAATAAAATAAATTAGGTATACAAGTGATGGGAATTTCTGGCCTTCAAAAATAGTACAGATTCAGCTGGGCATTGGTGGCTCATGCCTGTAATCTTAGCTAGTCAGGAGGCTAAGATCTGAGGATTATGGTTCAAAGCCAGCTCGGGCAGGAAAGTCCATGAGATTGTTATCTCCTTTAACCACCAGAAAACCAGAAGTGGCACTGTGGCTCAAGTGGTAGAGGGCTCGCCTTGACCTGAAGAGTTGAGGGACAGCACCCATGCCCACAGTTCAAGCCCTACAATGGACAAAAAAATAGTACAAATTCATAGTTACATTTCAAAAGTACTTTTACCTTTAACCTTAAAAAAGATGAAAGTGAAGATTTTATATGTACAATGGTTAATCCTCTAAATAAAACCTATTAAGATAATTAACTAGTTTAAATTTGATTTAAAAAAATGTCAAGATGTTAATTTCATAACTCTTGCTTAAAAGTTGAAAATTGTAGAGTTGATGTTTTGCTGTATTAACATTATCATAAGTAGGAACATTTTTTAACTTTAAAATGACAGTTGGATAGGGAATTCAGTAGCATTTTACATTGTAGGCCTTTAGAAGCAACAAAAAGTAAGTTAATGGAATTAATGTGATGGAGATTATATCTTTGCTAATACTTTACTAATTTATCAACTACTAAAGTTCAATCTTCCATTGTTTAGCTGTAAATATTTATTGGAAGAGAAGGGACAAGAATATATAAACAATATTCATTTAACCCATTCAACTGAGGAGTCTCTGGTAAGTCCTATATTGTATAATAATATGTTTTAAAACATAACATTTGTTTTGTAATTATTTTTTCATATAAAATTTATGGTTTAGTGTTGTAACTTAGTAATTTATGGTGAGATTTAAAGGGAAAAATTTGAAGAGAACCTCTAACTCCTGACATAAAGGAAATTTGTGATAAAGAAATTAGGATAAGTGAATATATCTATAGTATCACTTATAGATAGAAATAGGTTTGAAAAACTAAATCACCAAAGTCTCTTCTTACCTTTCTGAAATTGAACCTTTGTATAATGTACTTTGCTCTCATAAATACTTTTTGCTTGTTTTGCAGACAATATTTAAAAATCTCACAAATTTATCTAAATGGATAGGATGAACTGAGGTTGCCAATGCATTGGTAAAAATGTGGAAAGCACTAGAATAGGAAACTGAAGTTTGCCACCAAGGCTTTGCCATTCTTTATCTCTACATAGTTATTAGATTTCAAGACTCAGCTTTTGATAAGATTGGATTAGATAGTCCTCATTTCCTTCTGTTCCTTCAGGCAGTACCTCTTGTGAATATTCATGGTTTAAATCAGAATAAAGCCAGTTTATGTCAAATTTATGATTAATGTAAATTTTCATATTGAAGTAATTACTTCTATCAAAAAGAATTCTTATGATTCACATTTCTATTTTAGGTAAGAACTGCTGAAAAAACACCATCACTAACTCAAAGAATCGGTAAATGTGCTTATTAAAATAAATACAATTTTAATTTTGCTACCAATTTATTATAGTTGTTACTTATGGGGTGACAGAATAAGAAGCATAATATGTTGGTTACTTACTGCTATAAATTTAAGAATTTAATGAAATGCTTCATAGTTTTAAGTCAGATATTTCTATATTAAGAGTGTTAGTACATCCAGGTGGCAGTTGGCTCATGCCTATAATCCTAGCTTCTCTGGAGGCTGAGATCTGAGGATTATAATTTGAAGCCAGCCCCCACAGGAAAGTTTCTGGTGCTTATTTTTTGTTGGTTGTGGGTCCTGAACTTGGCCTGGGTGCTGTCCCTCAGCTCTTCAGCTGAAGGCTAGTGCTCTACCACTTGAGCCACAACATCACTTCCTGCTTTTTCTGCTTATGTGGTGCTGAGGAATCAAACCCAGGGACTTATGCAGGCAAGCACTCTGACACTGACCACCTTCCCAGCCCTCTGAGGCTCTTATCTCCAATTAACCACAAAAAGCCAGAAATGGAGCTGTGGCTCAAGTGGTAGAGTGCTAGCCTTAAGCACAAAAGCTCAGTGACAGTGCTCAGGCCCAGAATTCAAGCTCCAGGATTGGCAAAATAAAGTGTTAGTAAACTGAAAACAATTGAAAATAAAATAGTATAAAATCAGGTGTGATGGTACACACCTGTAATCTTTGTATTTAGGAAGCTAAAGCAAGTGGATTGCAAGTTCAAGGTCTTATTGGGCTACAAAGTGAGTTTGAATCCAAACTGGGCCATAAAGCTAGACCAGCTAGACCCTATCTCAGAAAAAAAAGTACAAGTTGTGTGCAGTGGCTCACACTTCTAGTCCCTAGCTACTCAAGGAGGCACAGGCAACAAGATCACTTGAGTCTAGGACTTAAACAGCAGACTGGGCAACAAAATGGACTTCTGTGTCTAAAAAAGTTTATATGGCCTGAGGACAAGGCTCAAATGGTAGAGAATAGTTACCTAGTGTGCTTGGGGCCTGGGTCCGATCCCCAGTACTGTAATAAGGTGAACAAATAAAAAGAGTTTTTTGTTTATTTCTTTAAAAGAGGATGCCAATATAACTTTTGGACAATTAGATTTTCCATGTTTAGAAAAGGCCCAAAATAGTTTTCCTTATCACTACTTCTGTTAAAGTCACAAAAGTAAGAGTGATGTGTATTTTTATATGTGAGGCTCCCTGAGGAAGCCATGGTGATGAGTCCAGTGTTCCACTAATGTGCTATCACCATCATCATTCAGAACCCATACTGTCCTTGTGTCTTTCCCAGCTACCTTACAAAGAGGTGAAGTTTGGTTTGTTTACCATTTATTGCCTCATGGAGAGGTAGAGAGATCTATATCATTCATAATAGACATCTTTTTATTTTTTTTAATTTTTAATTTTTTTATTTTTGTCGATCATGGGGCCTGAACTCTGGGCCTGGGCACTGTCCCTCAGCTCTTCAGCTCAAGGCTAGCACTCTACCACTTGAGCCACAGCACCACTTCCGGCTTTTTTCTGCTTATGTGGTGCTGAGGAATTGAACCCAGGGCCTCATGCATGCAAGGCAAGCGCTTTACAACGGAGCCACCTTCCCAGCCCCAATCTTTTTTATTTTTTGGCTTTACTAGGGTTTGAACTCAGGGCCTTGACCTCAATATGCAAGCACTCTACCACCTGAGCCACATCCCCAGTCCCATAGAAATCTTTTTTTTTTGTTGGTCGTGGGCTTGAACTCTGGGCCTCGGTGCTGTCCCTCAGTTCTTCAGCTCACAGTGAGTGCTCTACCACTTGAGCTACAGAGCCACTTCTGGTTTTCTGGTGGTTAATTGAAGATAAACAAAGCAAAAGGGATTTTAATAAGATTATCAAATCTGTCATATTTATCCTCAAAAACAAGCTTATAATCTTTAACATAAGAAAATATTGCCTTAAATGTCTAAAAAATAATGGCTATCACTATATAATAAAATACTAATAACAATTATAAAAAAAAGAATCTCATGAACTTTCCTTCTTGGGCTAGCTTTGAACCGTGATCCTCAAATCTCAGCCTCCTGAGTAGCTGGGATTACATGCATGAGCCACTGGTGCCTGGCTCCATAGGAATCTTTAAAAGCAGAAAATGAGGGAGCCATATAAACAAACATAAAGTAGTCAGAGAAGCATAGTGTGTTAAACAAAGAATATACTGGATTGTGCTTTTTGCTGGTTTTTTTATTTTGTTTTGTTTTGTTTTTCGTTCTGGGGCTTGAGCTCAATGCCTGGGTGTTCTCTGAACTTCTTATGCTTAAGGCTAGTGCTCTACCACTTGAGTCCCAGCTCCAGCTTTTTTTCTGTTATTAATTGGAATAAAAGTCTCATGGACTTTCCTGCTTGAGCTGGATTTGAATTACAATCCTCAGATCCCAGCCTAAGGAATAACTAGCATTACAGGCCGAGTACAGTACTGAGGTTTAAACTTGGGGCCTCTAAGCATTCTGTGTGTGTGTGTGTGAGTGAGAGAGAGAGAGAGAGAGACAGACAGACAGACAGACAGACAGACAGACAGAGAGAGACAGAGAGACAGAGACAGACAGACAGAGAGAGAAGAGACAGAGAAAGAGAGAGAGAGAGTCAGAGAGTCAGTTGTGGGGCTTGAACTCAGGGCCTGGGCTCTGTCTCTGAGCTTTTCTGTTCAAGGCTAGTGCTCTACCACTTTGAGCATCACTTCTGGCTTTTCGTTTGAGTACTTTATTGGAGAGAAGAGTCTCATGGACTTTCCTGCCAGGGCTGGCTTCAAAGCCCAGACCTCAGATCTCAGCCTGCTGAGTAGCTAGGATTAGCCACCAGCACCAGCTGGGGTCTTGAGCTTTTGTTTGGCTTTACCACTCAAGGCTATTGCTTTACCAATTGAGCCATTTACATTCAGGTCTTTGAGCCACTTTGAAATAAATTTTGTATATATTGTCAAGCAAAAGTCCATTTTATTCTTTTTTCATGTTCATATCAACTTGTATATTCTCGTGGTTTTTAGCAATTTAAATTTGAGATACCTACTGGATATCTAAGTACAAAGATATTAAAACCTGATCCTCCTAGCTACTGGCTACCAGAAGGATTGCTCTCTAGAGCTCTGGGCCCTCCTTTATCTCAGCCAACCAGCTGGGTGAGATCCTATACTCCAGTCATGGAAACTATGAGAGATGCATAGATAGTATTTCCTTCCAGGGCTGGCTCCAGGCAAAAAAACACTATCTGAAAAATAACTAAAATGAAGACTGAAAATAACTGAAGTGAAAAAGACTATGTAACTAAATAAAACTAAATAAAGTCTATGGAGACATAATTTGAAAAGGCCTCAGTGAGGGAATGGTTGGGGACATCTAATCAGGTAAGCAGAAGTAAAGGAGCTAGCAAAACAGATGTCAAAAACAAGCAAGTCAGTGGTGGGAGTATCTGACTAGATCTGCCCTTGGCATAACTCCACCTAGTAATCCTAAAAGCCACTTAAATTTAGCATCTATAAAACCCACCCAGCCACTCAGACCAAATCAGTTCCTGGCCTTTTTCCTCCTACGTTAGTTTAATAGCATCAAGGTTCACAAAGTCACCTAGTAACTTGAGTCATTCTAAGCTCTTTGTTCTCCATAATACATCTACATTTAATTAACCACCAGGTCTGATGGATTCCATCTTTTTAATATTGTCTAGAATTCACCACCTTCCCACTGTTGCTATACCCATTCAGGCCCTTGTTTTTCATAGGATTATTGTAGGCATGTGGGAACTGGTGTTTTTGTCTGCATTATAACCTCCCTATAGAATTTTTCTTTGTCAAACACAAATCATATGTTTTTATTCCCTATAATCAAATCTCTACATCTTCTTTACTTGTCTCTTAGAAAATATTACTGATGTCTACAAGCATTACATTACAGTACAACACCTGCTTAGCAACTGTAAGACCCTGAGTTCATACCTGTTACTTCCCCCCCCCACGCACGTGTGCGCGCGCACGCACGCGCGCGCACACACACACACAACACACACACACAAAATTACCCCGGGGTGGGGGGGATGTTGGTTGGGGTTGAGGGCTTGCCTAGCATGCATGAGGCCTTGATTTCATTCTCCAGCACTCCAAAAAAAATAATATAGTTGTTTTCAATTTGATGAATTTTAACATGTAAATACACCTACATAACCTTCATCACATCAGGATCTAGAATATTTCTCCTACCCTGAGAGCTTTATTAGCCCCCCCTTTTATTCAGTACCCCTTTCTGCAGATTTGCTTTGAACTTATATATGAAATCATATATAAGTAGTACGTACTCTCTTGTGTCTGGTTTATCGTTATATTTTACTTCTTTTACCCATTAGGTTTATCCATGTTTTTTGGTGTTAGTGTTTTTTTTTTGTTTGTTTTTCTTTCCTCTTTGTTTTCTATTTACTTTTTTTTTTGTTGCTGTTGTGGGGCTTGAACTCTGAGCCTGGGTTCTGTTCCTTTAACTCTTTAGCTTAAGGGGCGCGCTCTATCACTTGAGCCACAGTGCCACTTCTGATTACAATTTTCTGGTGGTTAATTGGAGATAAGAGTCTCATGGACTTTCCTGCCCGGGTTAGCTTTGAACCACGATCCTCAGATCTCAGCCTTCTTCTTTTTTTGGGGGGGGGGTCCGGTCGTGGGGCCTGAACTCTGGGCCTGGGCACTGTCCCTCAGCTCTTCAGCTCAAGGCTAGCGGTCTCCCACTTGAGCCACAGCATCACTTCCGGCTTTTTTCTTTTTGCTTATGAGGTGCTGAGGAATCGAACCCAGGGCCTCATGCATGCAAGGCAAGCGCTCTACCACTGAGCCACCTTCCCAGCCCCCCTTTTTTTTTGCTGGTCATGGGGCCTGAATTCTGGGTCTGGATGCTGTCCCTCAGCCCTTTAGCTCAAGGCTAGTGCTCTACCACTTGAGCCATAGCACCACTTCTGGCTTTTTCTGCTTATGTGGTGCTGAGGAATCGAACTTAGGGCTTGATGCATGCAAGGCAAGCACTCTACCACTGAGCCACCTTCCCAACCCCTTTCAGCCTTCTGGGTAGCTAGGATTACAGGCATGAGCCACTGGCACCTGGCTTCTATTTACTATTTAAATGTACCCCAGTTCATTCTTCCACTCATCTAATGATAGGCATTTGAGTTGTTTTCAATTTTGAGCTCTTATGAATAATATTGCACAAGTGTTCTTGTGCATATCTAACAGAGAGATAGGCACTCATTTTTAATACCCAAGAATGGAATTGATGAGTCAGAATCCAAGTCTCCTTTGTAAGCATACATTCTATATTCCTACTTAGAGTGTCATAAAAATGAGCATGCAGCCTGGCACCAGTGGCTTACCCTCCTAGTTTTTCTGGCGGATGAGATCTGAGAATCATGGTTTAAAGCCAGCCTGAGCAGAAAGTGTGAGATTATCTCTAAATGGAGCTATGTATGACTCAAGTGGTAGTATGCCAGCCTTGAGCAAAAATATTTCAGGACATCACCCAAGCCCTGAGTTCAATTCCTAGTACCAGCATACATACCAAAAAAAAATTAACAAAGAAAAGTGAGGTTATATTAACTTTTTTTTTTGATCAGTCATGGGGATTGAACTCTGGGCCTGGGCACTGTCCCTCAGCTCTTCAGCTCAAGGCGAGTGCTCTACCACTTGAACCACAGCGCCTCTTCCGGTTTTCTGGTGGTTTATTGGAGATAAGAGTCTCATGGACTTTCCTGCCTGGGCTGGCTTTGAACCATGATCCTCAGATCTCAGCATCCTTAGTAGCTAGGATTATAGGTATGAGCCACCAGCACCTGGCTGCATTAACTTTTTTTTTTTTGTCAGTTGTTGGGCTTGAACTCTGGGCGAGCATTCTACCACTTGAGTCACAGTGCCACTTCTGTTTTTCTGGCAGTTTATTAGAGACCCTAATGGACTTTCCTGCTGGGGCTATGTTTGAACTGCAGTCCTCAGATCTCATCCTCCTGAGTGGCTAGGATTACAGACGTGAATCACCGGCACCCAGCTGTGTTAACTTTTATGCATTACCTATCCCAAGAGCTTCAGGTGCAGAAACTAGCTGAATGTTAAGAAACTCATATAGGGCTGGGAAGGTGGCTCAGTGGTAGAGTGCTTGCCTTGCATGCATGAGGCCCTGGGTTCAATTCCTCAGCACCACATAAGCAAAAAGCTGGAAGTGGCGCTGTAGCTCAAGTGGTAGAGCTCTAGCGTTGAGCTGAAAAGCTGAAGGACAGTACCCAGGCCCAGAGTTCAGGCCCCACAACTGGCAAAAAAAGAGAAACTTATACGTTCCAGATCACAGACTGGGACTTCCCCTGATTTCTCAATTGCTTTTAATGAAAATCCTTGTGTTTGACTTTATAGCAACTACTTAAAATGTAATGTTTTAAGTATTTTTGGTTAATTGTTAATGAGCACAGTTAATTTGAAAAACCAGAGTTTTGAAGCATTTAGTTACTTATTTTTGGTCAGATGTGGGGCTCTGAGCTCTGTTTGAGAGCTCTTTTGCTTGAGGTGCTCTACCACTTTGAGCCACAGCACTACTTTTGATTTTGTGATGGTTAACTGGGAATAAAGAGTCTCACGGACTCTCCTGCCAGGGCTGTCTTTGAACCATGTTATTCATAATCTCAGCTTCCTGAGTAGCTAGGATTATAGGCATGAGCCACCGGTGACTGACTTTATTCTTTATTTTTTCTGGTTCTAGAGCTGAATTCAGGGCTAGGCACTGTCCATGAGCCTCTCTGTGTTCAAGGCTAGCACTCTATCACTTGAGCCACAGCACTATGTCCCACTTTTTCTTAGTAGTCTGTTGGAGATAAGACACCCATGAACTTTTTGGCTGGAACTTTCTGCCTAGGTTGGCTTCAAACAGTGATCCTTAGATCTCAGCCTCCTGAGTAGCTAGGATTACAGGTGTGAGCCACCAGCACCCAGCTAAACCCTAATCTTTTTTTTTTTTTTTGGGTCCTGTCGTGGGGCCTGAACTCTGGGCCTGGGCACTGTCCCTCAGCTCTTCAGCTCAAGGCTAGCACTCTACACTTGAGCCACAGCGCCACTTCCGGCTTTTTTCTTATGTGGTGCTGAGGAAACGAACCCAGGGCCTCGAGCATGCAAGGCAAGTGCTCTACCACTGAGCCACCTTCCCAGCCCCTAAACCCTAATCTTCAATAAGCCATGGTGCCATAAAATGTATACAACATTTACAGTGAATTACAAGATTCCAGAAGGTATCATTCAGTGACAAAAATGTCCGCAAAAAGTATTGCAAAGCAGGTTTAAGTTTGGTAGTACATTTTTTTTTTGTTGGTCATGGGGGCTGAACTCTGGGCCTGCGTGCTGTCCCTCAGTTCTTCAGCTCAAGGCTAGCACCCTACCACTGGAGCCACAGCACCACTTCCAGCTTTTTTCTGCTTATGTGGTGCTGAGGAATTGAACCCAGGGCTTCATGCATGTGAGGCAAGCACTGTACCACTGAGCCAACTTCCCAGCCCCATGCATTTTGGATTTATCTATTTATTTTTGCCTGCTGCTTAAACATTTTTGTTTTGTTTCTTTTTTTTTTGGTTTTTTTGTTGTTGGTGGTGGTGGTCATGGGTCTGAACTCTAGGCCTAAGTGCTGTCCTTTAGCTCTTCAGCTCAAGGCTAGTGCTCTACCTCTTGAGCCACAGAGCCACTTTGGTTTTCTAGTGGTTTATTGGAAATAAGAGTCTCATTGACTTTTCTGCCTAGTCTGGCTTCGAACCGTGATCCTCAGATCTCAGTTTCCTGAGTAGCTAGGATTACAGGTATGACCCACCAGTGCCTGGCTTTAAACTTTTTTAAGAAATAATTTTATTGGGTGAACAAATGCAGCAATGATTCTCACTAGACACTATATTGAAAATGAACTATACAACTTTTGGGTGGAGATGGGAGGGAAACACTGGGAGAGAGCAAGGGAATAGGGTGACATTGTCCAAAAAGAAATGTACTCATTACCTGACTTACATGTCTGTAATGCCTCTGTATATCACCTTTATAATAACAGTAAGAAATAAAAAATAATTTTAGGGGTTGGGAAGGTGGCTCAGTAGTAGAGTGCTTGCCTTGCATGCATGAGGCCCTGAGTTTTATTCCTCAGCACCACATAAGCAGAAAAAGCCGGAAGTAGCGCTGTGACTCAGGTGGTAGTTTGCTAGCCTTGAGCTGAAGAGCTGAGGGACAGTGCCCAGGTCCAGAGTTCAGGCCACATGACTGACAAAAAGAATTATTAACAATTTGTACAAAATGGTTACAGTTCCATAAGTCAGGTAATGGACAGTGTCATCCCTTCCTTCACTTTCCCCCCGTTTTTCCCTCCCTTCCCTGCATAGTTGCATAGTTCATTCTGTTTCTTTCTTTTTTTTTTTTTTGAGTGTAGCCTAGGCTGATTTCACACTCATGATTCTCCTCCTGTCAGTCTCTTGAGTTCTGGGCTTACAATTGTGTATTACCTCACTCAGATTGCTGCATGCTATTTTAAACTATTTTATTAAGTTGTATTAATGAAAATATTTGATTCAACCATGCTCATTTTTTGTCCAATTTTCTTCTCAGATGATACTATCTTCCAGAATCCTATGGTACAGGAAGCTATAAGAATGGGATTCAGTTTCAAGGATATTAAGAAAATAATGGAGGAAAAAATTCAGACATCTGGGAGCAACTATATATCACTTGAAATTCTGGTTGCAGATCTAGTGAATGCTCAGAAAGATAATACACAAGATGAATCAAGTCAGACGTCATTGCAGAAAGGTATGCATGGCTTTTTTTTTTGCCAGTCTGGGGCTTGAACTTAGGGCCTGGGCTCTGTCTCTGATCCTATCTGTGCACAAGGCTAGCACTCTACCACTTGAGCCACAGCACTATTTCCAGCTTTTTCTGAGTAGTTTTCATTGGAGATCAGTCTCCCAGACTTTCCTGCCTGGGCTGGCTTCAAACCTCAGATCTCAGCCTCCTGAGTAGCTAGGATTATAGATGTGAGCCATCAGTGCCCAGCTGTGTGGCTGTTTTTTGTTTTTTGTTTTTTTGAACTATGTACTAGGATTAAGATTTGAACTCAGAATCTTGTGCTTGCTATTCAGGCACATTACCACCTAACCCAAACCCTATGTCTGCTGCTTTAATATCATTTCTGTGCTCATTAATTTCCCTCCTCTCACTTCTCCCTCTTTTTTGTGTGCCTATCCTGAGGCTTGAACTCAGAGATGACAGGTGTGAGTCACCAGTACCCAGCTCACTTCTCCCTTAATATAAACATTTTTTAACCTTTAATAATGAAGCATTTCAAACTTACAAAAAAGAAAAGAGAAGACTATAATAAGCCCTCAGCTTCAATAATTTTCAATACTTTTCCAATCTTCTTATCTACCCCTCAATCTTTTTTTTTTTGGCTACAGTACTTTTTAACACCAGACTTTCCCTATATAATTATCTATAAATATTTCTTTTTTGGGGGGGGGTCCGGTCGTGGGGCCTGAACTCTGGGCATGGACGCTGTCCCTCAGCTCTTCAGCTCAAGGCTAGCGCTCTACCTCTTGAGTCACAGTGCCACTTCCGGCTTTTTTCTTTTTGCTTATGTGGTGCTGAGGAATTGAACCCAGGGCCTCAGGCATGCAAGGCAAGCGCTTTACCACTGAGCCACCTTCCCTGTCCCTCTATAAATATTTCTGTATATCCAATAGATAAAGATTTTTTTTTTGGTTAGTTGTGGGCCTGAACTCTGGGCTTGGGTGCTATCCCTGTGCTCTTCAGCTCAAGGCATGCGCTCTACCACTTAAGCCACAGCGCCACTTCCAGTTTTCTAGTGGTTAGTTGGAGATAAGAGTCTCATGGACTTTTCTGCCCGGGCTGGCTTTGAACTGTGATCCTCAGATCTCAGCCTCCTGAGTAGCTAGGATTACACGTGTGAGCCACTGGTGCCTGGCAGATAAAGATTTTATTTATTTATTTTTTTTGGGGGGGGAGTCTAGTCGTGGGGCCTGAACTCTGGGCCTGGGCGCTGTCCCTCAGCTCTTCAGCTCAAGGCCAATGCTCTACCACTTGAGCCACAGCACACTTCCGGCTTTTTTCTTTTTGCTTATGTGGTGCTGAGGAATCAAACCCAGGGCCTCATGCATGCAAGGCAAGCGCTCTACCACTGAGCCACCTTCCCAGCCCTAAAGATTTTTTTTTTTTGTCTGGTCGTGGGGCCTGAACTCTGGGCCTGGACGCTGTCCCTCAGCTCTTCAGCTCAAGGCTAGTGCTCTACCACTTGAGCCACAGTGCCACTTCCGGCTTTTTTCTTTTTGCTTATGTGGTGCTGAGGAATCGAACCCAGGGCCTCATGCATGCAAGGCAAGCGCTCTACCACTGAGCCACCTTCCCAGCCCCCTAAAGATTTTTAATAGTGTATTGTTATTAAGGTATTGTCAGGTAATGAGTACATTTTTTGGATAATGTCAGACTAAAGATCCTTCTAAATATACACTTAATACTGTGTGTTATTCTGCTTAGGCTACTATAATGAATCACTAGGTGACTTAAACAAAAGACATCTGATTCTTCCAGTACAGAGAAGTTCAAAATCAAGGTGCAATGTTCCCAATGATGGCCTTGAAGATGGCTGCCTTTTTATTGTGTCCTCACAATGAGAGGTGCTTGTGGAGTTGGGGGTCCATAAATGCTCTGGTCTTCCTTCCTCTACTTACAAGGACACTAATTCCATCATAAGTTCTCACCCTCATGACCTCATCTAAACCTAATTATAGTCACATGTTCCTTAACAATGGGGACATAGCTTAAGAAACATGTTGTTAGGCACTTTCATTATTGTGTGAACATCATAGCATGTAATTGCCCAAACCCAGATGGTATAGGCTAGTCACTTGATGTAGCCTTTGAAGCAATCAAGAGACTTGGTAAACACAAGATGTATGATATGAGGCTACTGCTGGCATGGCATAGCATACTGTTTTAGTATGATTTTTTGTGTTGGTACTGGGGTTTGAACTCAAACCTGGTACTGTCTTTTAGCTATTTACTCAAGATTAGTGCTCTAGGGGCTGGGAATGTGGCTTAGTGGTAGAGTGCTTACCTAGCATGCATGAAGTCCTGGGTTGGATTCCTTAGTACCACATACACAGAGAAAGCTGGAAGTGGTGCTGTGGCTCAAGTGGTAGAGTGCTAGCCTTGAGCAAAAAAAAAAGCAGCTCAGAACAGTGCCCAGGCTGAGTTCAAGCCCCAGGACTAGCCAAAAAAAATATTAGTACTCTACCACTTGAGCTTCACTTCCAACTTTTTGGTAGCTAGTTGGAGGAAGAGTCACACAGACTTTTTTTTGCCCAGGCTAGCTTTGAGCTCTGATCTTCAGATATCAGTCTCCTGGGTAGCTAGAACTATAGGCATGAACCATTGGCATTTGACACATACTAATTTTTTACCATCCCGCATGGATCTGCTCTAACAGTAAATTGTATAATATCATCTTATGTTAGAAGAATAATATACATGGGGCTATAATGTGGCATAGTGGTAGAGTGCTTGCCTAGCATGCATGAAGTCCTGGGTTTGATTCCTCAGTACTACATAAACAGAAAGAACTTGAAATGTTGCTGTGGGTCCTGTGTTAGAGTGCTAGTCTTGAGCAAAAGAAACTCAGGGCTCAGGGTCAGTGCCCAAGCCCTAAGTTCAAGCCCCAGGACTGGGAAAAAAAAAGAAGAATCTATATAATACCTTTAATGATCATATGCCAGAAAATTTCTGATCTAGAAATAGGCCTTGTAGAATGAATGTAGGACCCAGTTACCACCTTTAAAGATGGCATGAAGTAGTTGTCTAAGGTAAATTTGTCTAAAGTAAATAGCTTTACTAGAAAAAGGGTAATGATATCCATGTTTGTTAGCCCTGATAGTTCTTATTGCTTGATTGATTGCTGGTCCTGGGGCTTGAACTTTGGGCCTGGTTGCTGTCCCTGAGCTTTAGTGCTCAAGGTTGGTGCTCCACTTCAGCTTTTTGGTGGTTAATTGGACAGGAGAGTCTGATGGACTTTCCTACCCAGGTGGCCATTGAACTACAGTCCTCAGATCTCAGCCTCATGAGTAGCTAGGGTTACAGGTATGAGCCACCAGTGCCTGGCCATACCTGACAGTTTTTATGAGGTCAGATAGAAACCTCAAGTTGTGCAGGAGTGCTGAAGATCATTCTGGTGGTTGGGAGCAGTATTCAGTTTTATTTGTCTCTTAGTTTTTTTTTAAACTGTGACAAAATGCACATAACATATAATTAACCAGTTTCAGGCTGAGAATGTGTATAGCTCAATGGTAGAGTAATTGCCCAGCATGCATCAGAACCTGCATTCAATCCCAGCCTACAGAAAGGAGGAAAAAACAATTGTCATTTTAACAGAGGTTTTCTGTTTTTGTTTTTGCCAGTTCTGGGGCTTGAACTAAGGGCTTGGGTACTGTCTATGAGCTTCTTAAGAAGCTCAAAGCTAGCACTCTACCACATGAGCCACAGTGCCACTTCTGGCTTTTTCTGTTTCGGTAGTACTGAGGAATCAAACCCAGGGCTTCATGCATGCTAGGCAAGGATTCTGTCACTAAACTACATTCCCAGCCCATTTTAACTGTTTTAAGTAAATAGTTTGATAGTGCTAAATACATTTACACTATTGTGCAAACAATCTTCATAACTTTTGTGGGGGGAGGGGGGTTTGGTGTTGGGGATCAAACACAGGGCCTCATGTGTACCAGTACAACTTGAGCTACTTCCCCAGGCGAGCCTATAGCTTTTATTGTGCACAAAGTTGATTTTAAGAAGAAAATTAATCATTTTGTCCAAACCCTCTCTAGAGAAACCTCTGGTACACAAATGTGGCCTAGTCTTCAATTTAAAACCTATCACCAGGGCCCGTAGGATGAGGGACAAACTAGCTTACCAAATCTTTCCATAGCCTCCTTTTATGCTATTTCCTTTACAGATTCTTACTTGTACACTTGTACGCTATGTTCTGTTGGCTAGAAATTGATCCTTCACTTCCCCTGCCCTCCATGATCTTCCCCTTCTGGTTAATTCCTACTCCTCTTTTAGGATCCAGTTTAGGTATAATTTTCTCCAGTAGGCCTTTTATGTGTGCATACGTGCACACAGGTGCACACACACCCTTCCTGTGTTCTTCATAACACACTGTAATTACCTTTATCATTATAGCGTATTGTAATTTCCTGATTACTTATGTTTGTGACTTGTGTATGAACTACTGAGGGTCTGAAGTTGATATGTTTGTTAATTGTATCCCTAATGCCTCTAACTTAGTTAAGTGTTTCAGTATTTGTTAAGTAAAATTAAACAATGTTTCGGGGCTGGGAAGGTGGCTCAGTGGTAGAGTAGTATTGCCTTGCATGCATGAAGCCCTGGGTTCGATTCCTCAGCACTATATGAGCAGAAATAGCTGGAAGTGGCCCTGTGGCTAAAGTGGTAGAGCACTAGCCTTGACCTGAAGAGCTGAGGGACAGCTCCCAGGCCCAGAGTTCAGACCCCACAACCCACAAAAAAATTGTTTCCCACACGTTTCTTTTTTTTGGGGGGGGGTCCGGTCATGAGGCCTGAACTCTGGGCTTGGGCGCTGTCCCTCAGCTCTTCAGCTCAAGGCTAGTGCTCTACCATTTGAGCTACAGCGCCACTTCCGGCTTTTTTCTTTTTGCTTATGTGGTGCTGAGGAATCGAACCCAGGGCTTTATGCATGCAAGGCAAGCACTCTACCACTGAGCCACCTTCCCAGCCCTCCCACACGTTTCTTTGAGCTATTAAAAGAGCTATCACAAGGGGTGGGAAGGTGGCTCAGTGGTAGAGCGCTTGCCTTGCATGCATGAGGCCCTGGGTTCCATTCCTCAGCACCACGTAAGCAAAAAGAAAAAAGCAGGAAGTGGCGCTATGGCTCAAGTGGTAGAGCATCAGTCTTGAGCTGAAGAGCTGAGGGACAGCGCCCAGGCCCAGAGTTCAGGCCCCACAACTGGACCCAAAAAAAAATTTTTAAAAAAGAGCTATCACAATAAAGGAGCTCCATAGTTGAACATAGAAATGCATCGTACTATTTCAAGATGGATATATACCATATTGTATTATACTGAATGTGATGTCAGTGATTCCCAAATGCAGTGTATTTTTAACCTCGAAATATAAAGTTTAGTGAATAAGGCCCAGGAATATGTTGCTTAAAGTGGCACAGCTCAATGGTAGAATTCTCACTTAGCATATAAAGGGCCCTGAGTTCCATCCCCAACACTGATAAGGGAGGAAAAAGATGAGGAGAGGGAGGGAGGGAAAAGAGAGGGGAAGGAAGGGAGAGGAAAGAGTTCAAGTCATTCTATTTGAGGCCAAATTTGGAAAGTATGAGTGTACAGTGATTACAAAGACAGTCAAGATACATAGCACACTTGGAATAGTGCCTAGCACATAGTATTTATACTGTTGCTGTTGACTGCTGCTGCTTCAATTTTAATTATATATGACCAGGAAGCACATTTTTGTGGCATAATTGTTACCATTTCACAAAACCTATTTTGGAAAAGGCTAAATTATACAAGCATTTCTTTGTTACCTATATATTGATGACACTTTTTCTCACCCTGACGTCTTTTATTTTTGGTCTGTCATGAGGCTTGAACTCAGAGCCTGGGCACTTTTCTGATGGATAATTGGCAAAAAGAGTCTGCCTGTCCTGCCTAGGCTGGCTTTGAACTGTGGTCCTCAGATCTCAGCCTCCTGAGTAACTAGCATTACAGCTGGGAGCCACCAGTGTCCGGCATGCCCTGACTTCTAAACTTAAATTTGATTGTCCAGTTATGTACTGGAAATTTTTGTATGGGTTCCCTGCATAAATACCTCAAAATGTCTGAGAATCCCAAATTCATATATTTCCTTTTACTTCTACAGCCCTCACATTCAAATACCAAATCTTAATTGTCCCATTGCAGAAGTGTCCCTCAAATCCATGTCTTACTGGAATTAGTCATGTCCTTTCCATATGCTGCTTCTTTTAACTAATCCTTTCTTCTGTGTGGCAAATTGCTCCCATGTTTAAATGTCACTCCTCCACTCTCCTCCTCCCTTCTCCCATGATGCCTTCTCTAACAAGCCTGAACAGAAGAACTTGTTCATCTTGTCCTAGAGCAATTTATATGTAACTTTATTAGAGCACTTATCACTTTGTACTTTGTGCTTACCTCTATAACCTCATCTCATATCCTCCACCACTAGTATGCTAGCTATTTAAGAACACAGGATATGTGTGAGTCATCTCCCAGCTCCCAGCACTTGAGTGTCAGGCACACAGTAGGGGTTCAGTAATGTCTCAGTGAATTGAAATAATTAAGAAAGTCTAAAATGAGTATATTTCTTTTCTCTTTGTACAGAAATTAGTACTGAAGAGCAGCTAAGGCGCCTGCAAGAAGAAAAACTTTGCAAAATCTGCATGGATAGAAACATTGCTGTAGTTTTTATTCCTTGTGGACATCTGGTCACTTGTAAACAATGTGCTGAAGCAGTGGACAAATGTCCCATGTGCTACACAGTCATTACTTTCAAGCAAAAAATTTTTATGTCTTAACCTAGCACCACAATAGGCATGTTTATGTTCTTCTTAAGACCCTGATTGAATATGTGATGTGAATGAACATTAAGTAATCAGTATTGAATTCAATTTGCATTTGCTACCAAGTGAAAACAAATGTAAATACCATTATTTTAATTGGCAGTCTAAGCATTGAATATCTGGATTTTCAGGTTATTTAACTGTATCATATATCCAGTTATTTTTTATTTTTATTCAATTGAAGCCCTAGATTAAGAAGCAACTTATTATAGTTGATCACAGTGTGTATTTGTAGCACACTGGCTTAGTTTCTATGAATAAGTGAACTGATCATTTGAATTTTTCGTTCATTTCAGAGAAGTTTAACAAGTGGAGCATTCTGTGTGAATGTTGAGATTAGTGCTAATCTCCTCAATCACATAAGTTGTTCTGTGTGAAAATGGAATGAACTGTTCCACATGTGTAGAAAGACAGACATTATCTTTAGATGTTTGTCTTTATGTTTTAGGATAATATTTTCTTTTAAAATTATAATCATGTGTGTAAACAACTGGGGAGCAGTACTGTGGCTTGAACTCAGTGCTTTGTGTTTAACAGCAGGCATTCGACCTCTTGAATCATGCCTCTAGCCCTTTTGCTCTAGTTGTTACTTGTTTTTTGTTTTTGAGAACTGTCTGGGCCACCTTGGACCACAATCCTCCTATTTATACTTTCAGCTGTAGCTGGGATGATGGGCACATATTACCATGCCCAGCTTTTTCTGTTGAGATGGAATCACACAAACTTTTTGCTACAACTGGAGCTATGGTCCTCCCCATCTCTGCCTTCAATGTAGCTAGAATACAGGTGTGAGCCACTGGCACCCAACCTGTGTACATATTTTTCTTTTTTAAAAGATTCTACCACATCTAAAAGGATGTTTAATGATAGACTACCACTTAGACAACATATACTGACATGGAAAGATGTAAATGCAATGGCAAAATAATATGTATAGTATGAGCCAAATCAAGGTGTCTGTGTATTTTGTATATAGAACAAAATATTTGGAAAGATTATATACTAAACTCTTAAATGTGATTTTTCTTCTTGCAGGGGGAAGGGTTGCGTCCTAGGGGCTTACAGGAGTCCTTCACTTCCTTTTTATTTTGTTTGAATTTTTGTAAGTGTGTATTGCTTTTGTAATCAGAATTTTTAGGAAGTATTTACTGATTTAAAGGCTTAGGCATGTTCAAACGCCTGCAGAACTACTTACGGCTCAGTTTTAGTTTTTCATAATTCAGGAAGTCAGAGCACTTAACCTTTTTGGTGCCAATGTGAAATTCAAATATTTCTGTTTTCCCTGCTTTGTGGGTGAAAACTATTTCTGAGTGGTAGTTTTCTAACAGGTAGACCATGTCTTCTTATCTTTTTTCAAAATAAATATTCTGATTTTGTAAGATGAAATATAAAATATGTCTCAGATCTTCCAATTAATTAGTAAGGATTCATCCTTAATCCTTGCTAGTTTAAGCCTGCCTAAGTCACTTTACTAAGTCACTTTGTTAATCCAGTATTTTAAACATTTGTCTGCTTATGTAGGTAAAGTAGAAGCATGTATGAATCCTGCTTGTAGTTACAGTGACAGCTTTCCTAGTTGAAATTGTTGTATCCTAAAGTTTTGTGTGAATTTTTACTGTTAGTATGGTTAAGATGTATATATGGAGAACAAGGTGTTGTCTTCACTTATATGTTTTTTTTTGTTTGCTTAAGTAGTAATAGTTGTAGATGCTTGTTAAAAATTACCCTCTCACAATCCTTAAAACCTCTTGGAAATTATAAAATATTGACAAGGGAAGAATAGTTGTTTATGTATTTTAAGAACTTGAGTCAGGCACTGCTGGTTTAGGCCTATAATCCTAGATACTCAGGAGGCTGAGATTTGAGGATTACAGTTCAAAGCCAGCCTGGGCAGAAAGGTCTGTGAGACTCATGCCCAGTTAACTAATAAAAAGCCAGAAGTAGAGCTGTAGCTCAAGTGGTAGAAAACTAGTCGAGAAAAAAAAAAGAATTAGTAAGAGTCAGTATGGATAAAATTGGAACATCCAAAATTGACTTAAAATGATTCTTGTGCCAGGCACTGATGGTTCATGCCTCTAATCCTAGCCACTCAGGAGGCTGAGATTTGAAGATCTTGCCAGTCCAGGCAAGAAAGTCCATGAGACTCATCTCCAATAAACTACTCAGAAAAAAGCCTGAAGTGGCGCTGGGACTCAAATTATATAGCGCCAGCCTTGAACACAAAGAGGATGAGGGACAGTGCCCAGACCCTGAGTTCAAGCCCCAGAACCAGCAAAAAAAAAAGAGATTCTTGTGGAAAATATATTATAAAGATGAGTGGCATTCTGCTACAGAGAATAGTTTGAGAGCGAAACTATTAGAAATTATATTTTTGTTGTATTTGCTAAGAGAAAAAGTATTGTTATGTTCTGTGGACTACTACATTAAGTGATATTCATGGTAAATTCATTTACAGCATTGCAGATTTAAACAGAATTAAGTAATGACATCCTGGTTTTCTGTTTCTTTTTTTTCTGTGTATATGTAAATCTCAGATTTGTGTGTGTGTGTGTGTGTGTGTGTGTGTGTGTGTATGTGTGTGCATATATGCATGTACAAAAACTTCAGTTCTCCATTGCACTGTTTTCTGTTTAAGTCTAGTTATATAATCATTAAGTTAAATGAAATCTGTATAGATTAAGCGTTAAACTTAAAGTTACATTCAAAGCATTCTTACAGGGGAAAAAAGTGTTAAAATTTTAAAAATATGTTTTCCAGAACACTTCAGCTCCAAGTCACATAGGTAATCCAACGTACTTGTTAGTCAAGAACTCAAAGACTAAATTGTAATACAGGCGTTTCATGTTGGGGAGTTTCAGTTCATTAAACTCTTCTTTTAAAACTTGTGTGTTGAGTTAAGCAAGACCTTTTTTTTCTTTGTCTCCATGAGTTGTGAAATTTAATGCATGAAGCTGATGTGGCTAACAAGTTTATTTTAAGAATGGTTTAGAAATGCTGTTGCTTCAGGTTCTTAAAATCACTCAGCACTCCAGCTTCTAATCAAAAATTTACAGACCTACCGGATTTTGTCTTTTTTCTTACTACAAAAAAAGCACTGGGATTTTTCCACATAATTTTGCAAAAATTGACCAATTGCAAGGTCAAAGTGTAACAGGATCCAAATCCCTACCCACTGTAGTTCTTATCTACCTGTCCGCATTCTTTTTCTGTATGGAGGTCACTTTAGAATTTTTGAAGTCACCACCATTATTTTACTATATTTAGGCCTGTGAAGATTAAAACTATTTTGTATTAAATAGTTATCTTTATTTGTAGTAATTTAGTGTGCTGATCAAAAGTTTTTTCTTCTGCCAAAATTAGTATAGCCTTTATAAAGTAAATCCAGGCTTATTAATTCATGACTATTACTTTTACCTTTGAGATTTGGTTTTCCCACCTGCCTTTGGTTAAGGAGGTAGGGTGAGTATAGTATGTAATGTGATTGTATTATATTTTGTTTAATTATTATATTTAAATTTTGGTATTGCTTTTTTGTTTCTGTTTTAGTGCATAAGATTTGTATATTGAACTTTGAAAGTACCACCTCAACATTGGTTGCCTAATATTGTCTTCATTAGACCCAAGTCAATGTTTTGTTTATGATGAGCCAGGTGTTGAGTGAGGAAAGCAATGGGAGGAGTTGAGAGAAAAGCCCTTGCCATTAGAGAAATGAGGAAATGGGAAAGTTTGACAGATGTAGTTCTTTTTAATCAAATAAGTTCTTCATTTGTGAAATGAAAATAATGACTGTCTTCCAAGGTTTTGATATAACCCCCTTATGCCTCCTACCCTTAGAAATTGGGGTTAAAACTTAGAAAAAGTTCTTACATGATAACTTTGTTACGATTACTGATCTTGATTAGGTAAATTACAATAAATAAATTGGTCAGAAGTCAGAAATATTTTCATTCTTTTTATAAAGATTTAAATTTATCCTTATTAAATCCAGTTGAGCTTTCCTAATAGAAACTATTGATTTATTTCCACCTTTGTAATAAGCATTTCAATTTGACTCATCCATTTATCACATTATGCATTTCTTTCCCAGCATAATGGAATCATATTCAGAGCTGGAAGCTCATTGATCCCCTCATTCTATAGTTGAGGCAACCGAGGCTCAAAAAAGAGCAACTTTCTTCAAATTATATAGCTAATTACTGTCAGAGCCCTGGCTGGAACATAATTTGAAGGTGAAAAACCGTCATCAAGCTCCCTGTCCTAAAAGGTATAAAAGTTCATTTTTCAACAGTTCCTTCCACTCACTGTGCTCCAACTTTTTACTACATGTTAAATGACACTATAACTGACATAATAGGACAATCTTAAATGCATGTATCATCTTAAAATTGAACAACTGTATATTAATGCTTGGGTGGTAAGATTGTATTTTGAAGTTTGAAATTTGCAGATATCTTGGCATTTGCTACATGCTTATTGTGTATTGTTAATGTACCATTTAAAAGTCCTGTGTAAGTATATTTTTACCATTTCTTCTACACCTAGTAATAGATTTGCATTTTTGATTTTATGTAACAAAAGCTTTACTGTAATTTCGGTTAAATTTTTACATTTTTAATTACTATTATACTTAACCTGACAGAATGACTGATTGTTATGTCATTGTATTAGTATTGTGAATACTCATGTGATAAGGGACAGAGTACTATATTTGTGAGTATAATTTTATGGCTTTTTTTCACTTTGTAAGAATCTTTCCATCAGTATGGAAAACTAAGAAAATTACTTTCTGCTGTACAATCTGGCATTTGTCTTAGATTAAAGCTTATTTTTCTGTGAATAAAGTTTATTCTTTAAAATATTTATATTTGTTTCACTTTCTTAGAAAAATAAAACAACCTCCTTCAAAATACTAAAATGAGTTTGGAAGCTGGGTACAGTGGCACATATCTATAATCCCAGCTTTGCAGTAGTTATAAGCAGGCAGGTCTTGAGGTTAAGGACAGCCTTAACAAAAGTTAGAGTTTATTAAAAAAAATATACAGCTGGGCACTGGTGGCTCACGCCTGTAATCCTAGCTACTCAGGAGGTTGAGATCTGAGGATTTAGCTCAGGCAGGAAAGTTCATGAGACTCTTCAATCAATCACAGAAAAGGCCAGAGAGGTGCTATTGCTCAAGTGGTGGAGCACTAACTTTGAGTGCTCTATCACTATCATTCCCAGCCCCAATTTGATGTTTTCTAAAAGTGAGTATCATCCTCACCTTTCTTACTTTTCCTTATAATTTTTTGCTAACTCAGTTCCATATTAAACTGCCAAAACTTAGTAGTCATAACAGGCAATATCTGTAAGTCCTTTCTAATTATATTTTTCAAAAAAACTGTCATGTTAGGCTGGGAAGGTGGCTCAGTGGTAGAGTGCTCGCCTCAAATGCATGAGGCCCTTGGTTCGATTCCTCAGCACCACATAGCAGAAAAAGCTGGAAGTGGGTGCTGTGGCTCAAGTGGTAGAGTGCTAGCCTTGAGCTGAAGAGCTGAGGGATAGCACTCAGGCCCAGAGTTCAGGCCCCACAACTGACCCCCCCCCAAAAAATGTCTTGCATGCATATACTCTGAG